GTTAGCAATAAGACCATTAGGCAGCACAACACTTTGAAATTTTATGGAATGCACCCTCTTGTGACCATTGTACATTTGTCGCTGGTAGTATTTCGGTCGAGCAATTGGGCGAACAGTGCCATCGATAAATCCAAAGCAGTTTTCCAATGGGGCACCCTTGTCATGTACTGCATCAGCACAATTTTGGAGCAGCTCTGGTGACAAAAAAGGCTGATTCCAACTCTCCAGGCGGTGGTGGTGTGCATCATATACCAAATCCAGAACTTCGTTAAATATGAGGCATATCTCAGTTGGGTTTCTACCAAAACGTATAGCCATATCAGGATATCTGCATGGGTAAGCAAGTCTTTTTAGGAAAATGCATAGTCCTTCGATTCCAGAACATATACTTCCTTGCTGACATGTAATCTTTTCAGGAATTCCGAGCAAACGCTGTAACAAAGCCAGGTTTGACTTGGCAAATCTCAGCTCGATCTTGCATTCTTCATCATCCCAAGAATCCAGATCAAACAATTCAAATTTCCAGTATGGGAATAAAGGTTTGGACAAGTTATACTCGAACAGCAAAACAAATTCGGTATCAGAAATACACTGCTCGTGTCTGGCAAGAATTAAAGCATCGCGAACAGATTGCAAACCACCAAGCGCCATCACAAAAATCACAAACTAACATAACTATTTGCAAACATATATCACGACAGCATCACGAAATTTGAGTATTTAACGACCAAATTTATTTCAAAATCATTTTTGTGAATTGTGAACAATCATAAAACACAATATTAAAACAAAATATTAAAGCTACAAGTTCACTTCAGCTATTTTTATAGTCACAATTTTAGGTGTATATAAACCCGGATATAAACAAACTTTATAAATACTGTCAATATTTGGTTGTGGTTTTTACCATGTCTATTTCGAGTGAACATCCTATTTCACTTCAGATTTATCGAAGAAAATCATCTATCTAGGCGATGTTTGAATTGAAAAACATTTTACACGTCTTCTTGGCGTCCTGATCGCTCAATCTAAGTCTGTTTTTGTACTCGACACGACGGCGTTCTCGACCCAGACCTTTGCGCACCATTTTACGTCGTGTTGACGTCCGCGTCCTCGATCTAAATCTGTCTAATAACATATTTTGGGGGTGTGTCCAGCTAGCCAAACCATCCTATTTTATTAACTGTGCTTCGATTCATCAACTCGAACAGCTTTCATAATTGAAACATTGACATGATCCTTTAGTTTACTGATTTGGTCAATCATTAAAACATTTAATGGTGTAATAACCATATCAAATTAATGTTTATCTTGCATGTAAAACATTATTTCTTTCGAGAAATTCCCAAAGTTCACTCCTTGCAAAAAAAGATGCAGAGTCAGCATTTTATTACGTTTACTTCCGGCAAACTACAAGATTTTTGAAGTTCCGGTTTTGGTTTTCGTGGCCAGGGCCTCTGGCAACGCAGTATCAGCCGTGAGGCCCTGGGACCGAGGATGGGTAAAAGGTTATAACTTAAGCTGCACAACGTAGTTTTAATAAATAACTACTTTCCGAGAAGCATATTGGTGTCATATCGATATGAATTTTATGGGACAACAGTCCGTGTAAACTGCAGTGTACTCAGTGTGAAATATGATATTGTATTTGTATAAATGCCTATTACAGTAATGGCGCAATAGCCAATAAGGATAAAAATACCACCGTTCGATTCAGCATAAGAAATTGCACTTACGGATGCCAAATGTATCACTAAACAACAGTATTCTAACGATTTATGGACTTTGAAAATCAAGCGACATTTTTATTGTTGACAAATTACTCGCCGTTTGTCCGACCTTGTATTTGACCTTGTATTTGTAATGCCTAATAGTAATAAGTAATGGCGGATAAAAATACCACCGTTCGATTCAACGTAAGAAATTGTACTTATATATGAATGAGAAATTGTACCTACGGGTTTGAAATGTATTACTAAACAACTGACAACAGTATTCTAGCGATTTATGGCGTTTGTCTTTGAAAGCCAAGCGAAATTGTATTATTTGTTGACAAATCGCTCAAACCTAAAATTATATAAAATGCAATATGTTTGATCCTTGATAACTTTGGTATCGTTGGTTTTCTCTTTTTCGGCCGTATACCAGTGGATTCGTCTCACTTCTCTCTTCATTTTGATAATATTTCGAGCCCAAAAGCCCAAAAATATTTTAGTTTGGACGTTTTAAACTAGCGGCCAACAGAAGAATGTAGTGTACTACAAAATATAACTTTTTATACTTGTGGGCGACAGGTACAAAACGCAGGTTGCAGGTTGGAATTTTGCAGGTTGGGAATTTTGCAGGTTGGAATTTTGCAGGTTGGGGATTTTGCAGGTTGGAATTTTGCAGGTTGGGGATTTTGCAACCTCGTCCCCAGGGCCTTTTGAGCAAGGAAGCGAAGGCCTGGGGACGAGGTTGGGGATTTTGCAGGTTGGAATTTTGCAGGTTGCCAGGGACTTTGCAGGTTGATGATGCAAACTTAAAATTACACCACATTTTTAGTATTCTAGTATAACAGACTCTTAGTTGTGCATTTATTGCAGTCTGACTCCTTGTCGGCGCTTTTGATATCAGCTAATCAGCCTACCCTGTTGCCATGTTCCTAGCCTCTGCTCTAAGGCTAGTGGCCATCACCCCGTAAAAAACATTAAAAATGACCAGATTAGCTTTGACCTGAGTGGTCTCATAAGTGGGTGCAGAGGAGAGACACCTCATTCAGGCATTTTCTAAACTGCCACCACGTCATGTAGGCTCCTTGCAACAATCGAAACATCCGTCCCCCTGAAGATCCAAGCCAATCTGGTCATTTTGAATGTTTTCACAAGGGTGATGGCCACTCCTTATAGAGCAGAAGCTAGGAACATAGTAGCAGGATAGGCAGATATCAAAAGCGCCGACAAGGAGTCAGACAGCAATAAGTACACAATTAAATTATACTAGAATACTTTATAGTGGTGTAATTTTAAGTTTGCATCATCAACCTGCAAAATTCCTAGCAACCTGCAAAATTCCAACCTGCAAAATCCCCAACCTGCAAAATTCCAACCTGCAAAATTCCCAACCTGCGAAATTCCAACCTGCAACCTGCGTTTTGTACCTGCCGTACTTGTGGGCCATAAACGCCGGAAGTTTTATTTGTACTTGTAGCACAAAATAGCTTGTAGGGTACCGCATTTTAGTGTGTTAAGCTTTGGCACTCGTATTCGACTTTTCCGCTTAGCTCGGAGTCAGGCTTAGATCTTAATAGACCTTTCCTCTTTTCAGTGAAATTTTGATCTAGATTAGCCTGGACAAAAATTTCATCACAGCTTGGAAAAGCATTGCAGAATTAGTAATATTCCGAAGTTTCGTTGCAAAAAGTTGTAAAATACGGATAATATAGCCTTGCGAAGCTTGCCGTTTTCAGTCATTTTGCAGTACAAACGGAAAATTGATAATCAGATCATGAAACTGATGGTCAATTTCCCATTTGTAATACCAAATGACTGAAAAACGGCAAACTTCGCATTGCTATATTATCCGCATTTTAAATATGACTAATTTTGTCATGCTCTTTCAAGCTGCAGGGCAGAATAACGTACACAGAAGGGTGACTTCTTTGTTTTTCCTATGATTTTAGCGTAACCGTAATTCGTCACCAAATGCTGACGTCATCAAATGCTGACGCCATTCACCCCCCTGATAATATTCAAAATGGCGGACGTCCAGGGGGGAATGCCTCTCAAACCCGCACTGGCTAGGACCATGGCACACTGCCATGGCATGATGATGAAACATGGAGTGGCAGCGGTTACTCGAGTCGACCTTCTGTGTGCATTATTCTGTGCTGCAGGGCCGCCAAGAGCTTGGCGGGGGCCCGGGGCAAATTTTTCTTAGGGGACCCTATTCAAAAAAAATTTCCGGACGAGTACGTTGTAAATGCTTTTGTGGGAAATTACTGCAAATTTTTCATACCAAATTTCGGTTCTTTGCCCGAAAAAACAGATATTGTGACCCAAAAACGGAAATATTTCGCGCAAAAAAATGACTGGTGCCCAACAAAAAATTTCTAAGGACCCCCAGAACCTCGTGGCCCGGGGAAATTCCCCCCCCCCCCCTCGGCGGCCCTGTCAAGCTGTGATGAAATTTCTGTCCACGCTAATCTAGATCAAAATTTCACTTAAAAGAGGAAAGGTCTATAGAAATATCTGTGTACTGTATCTGGCATCATATAAAGTAATGTGCGTATTTGTACAGCCCCAGCGAGTTAACGCTCCATAGAGCGTCTTCTTGCTAAAAGAAGGGAGCGAAGGCGCCGACGTTAACGTTAAGTTTGTTTTAAATGTTGATGTATTGTTTGCTTTATAATTGCTTTAAAAGCTGATCGTTGCGTATATTTTTAGACAGCATATAATTTTAGTGTTGATTGACTTTTTTATTACTCGCTGGGCACCTGTGCCCCAGGCGAGTATAGGTTTCGGCATCATTTAGTGGATCGGCAATCTCCAATCGTCGTTGATAGCCACAAAATAGAATATTAATGAGCTGCCAATTTTTACCCAAATTATCCATAAGATTCCTGCCAATTTTTACCCAAATTATCCATAAATAACCCTCCGCTTTGAGAAAAATTCGGGAAAATTGAAAAAAATTGAACAATTTTACAAGGAATTTTACCAAAATTGACATGGAAACAGCAACCTTTGCAAATCGCAAGTTCTATATTTTGCGATTTGCGATTTGCTGTTTTATATTTTGATTTTTGGGAACAAAGCAATTTTTCGACGATGTTTACGGTAAGTGAATGTGTTTTAATTTCAAATACGCTTACCTCGCATGACTCTGCACCTATTCGTGGTAGACCTACACTAAAAGATCCTGAGCGATTTCAAACCGGGTCGACTATCCACGAATCCACAATAAATTCCAGAGATTGCCAAAAATGGGGTCGTACGTACTAATTACCGACAAAAAGGCCGACAAAAAGGCAAACAAATACCGACAAAATTTTTGTCGGTATTTGTCAACCTCGTTCCCAGGGTCTCACCTCCGCTCACCCCTTGCTCCGGAGAGACCCTGGTATGGTGTGGTCTCGTGAGTCATGACCGCGTGCTATACTCAGTAGGGGTAGCATGATTGAGTACTTATTACAGTAACTAAAAATAGCAAATGTATATTATTACTCGCTGGGGCACTGTGCCCCAGACGAGTATAGGTTTCAACCTCGTACCCAGGGCCTTTGCGCGGTTCAGAGGCTCTGGTACGGGAAGCAAAGGCCCTGGTAAACACTGGTTACGTGTGTCCAAAAATATTGGACATTTTGTAACCTGGCCTTATTAAAGTCATGTCATCCCGGGGGGGATAAACAACTGAACATTGCAATGGGCGAACTAAATTTTAAAAATACATATTTTGCCTTTGATTTTTAAAATATGAATGTATAACAAGTGTTTTAAAATTAATATGTTAAAACAACAGGCAGCAGATTTTAAGCTTGTTTTTATTTTGATGGAAATTATAAACTTTGAAGCCACATGGATTTTGAATGCTATAAAGATCGAATGCAGTATATTCGAGGTACGATTTTATGATGCATATTATATAAAAATTATATTATTATTCTCAAATAT